CTGTTCTCTGGAGCAAGTTCCTAGACTAGATGGACAGCAGATAGAGGAACGAGATCGTTCCCCTTTATTCGACATTGGTGAGGCCTCATCTGGAATACTGTGTCCAGTTTTGGGCTCCACAATACAAGAAGGATGTGGAAATATTGGAAAGAGTCCAGCGGTGGGCAACAAAAATGATTAGGGGGCTGGAGCACATGACTTATGAGGAGAGGCTGAGGGAACTGGGATTGTTTAGTCTCCAGAAGAGAAGAATGAGGGGGGATTTGATAGCTGCTTTCAACTACCTGAAAGGGGGTTCCAAAGAGGATGGATCTAGACTGTTCTCAGTGGTGGCAGATGACAGAACAAGGAGTAATGGTCTCAAGTTGCAGTGGGGGAGGTCTAGGTTGGATATTAGGAAACACTATTTCACTAGGAGGGTGGTGAAGCACTGGAATGGGTTCCCTAGGGAGGTGGTGGAATCTCCTTCCTTAGAAGTTTTTAAGGCCCGGCTTGACAAAGCCCTGGCTGGGATGATTTAGTTGGGAATTGGTCCTGCTTTGAGCAGGGGGTTGGACTAGATGACCTCCTGAGGTCTCTTCCAACCCTGATATTCTATGATTCTGTACAAACACTTCAGGAGTCAGCCCAAACTCGCAGAGCAGGGCTTTTTATAACAGTTCATAATCCCCTGTCTCCGCCCCTTTCATTTGGCTGTACACCTCCACGGCTTTGGGGTCCAGTAAGGGGGTGAGAAAGCAGAGCCTGTCTACAGGGTCAACCCTCTGTAGCTCACAGGCATTCTCAAAGGCATTCAGGAATTCATCTATGTCCTCCCCCTCCTTACGCTGGGCCAGGACGCCCTTATCAAATCTCCATGCAGTCCTGGGTCCCCCCTCACTCACCGCAGCGGGGGGCTCACTGCTCCTCAGCCTTGACAACTCCAGTTCATGCTGCCACTGCTTCTCCCGATCCTCCAGCACTTTCAGTTTTATCTCCCTCTCCCATTCCAGCTACGTCAGCTCCAGTGATGGGGAGCTCTGCCATGAGGATCCCCTGCTGCCTGTGGGGGTCATGGTGCCCTTGGTGTTCGCCCAGGCTCCTTCCAGCCCCTCCCCTAAACATAGGTCTCGGGATGTCCTCGGCAGCAGTCTGACCCCTCCCAGCCATGTCAGGCCCCGGGGCCCACGCTGCATCCGCCGGGCGGCTTCCCTCAGGGACAGGGCTCGGTTCATCCAAGTGATCCCTCTCCTCCAGCTGGGCAATGAGCTGTTCTTTGGTGGACCTCCCAATGCGCAGCCCCCTCTGCCTGCACAGCTCCACCAGGTCGCTCTTAAGGAGATGGTTATGCATCTCCCCGCTGTTCCCAAGCTGTTGTGTACTCGCAGGCCTGTGTGCTCTCAGCTCTCCACAGTTCCCAGGGAGACCCCTAGTGTGCCAGCCCTTATCCAGGTCACCACCTCTCTGCCAGGGTCAAGCCACAGACTCCTCTGCCCCTGGAACCGCTCACCACAGTCCCCGGGGGACCCTGTTACTGCAAAAGTCCTTCTCGCTGGTCACACACTCCCAGGGGTGCAGTATATCCCACCCCTACCACCAGTTGTCACGGAGTGTGGGGGAGTCAGGGCCCTACACCCCTCTTCTTGCGATTCACTGGGACTCTCAGCCAGCCAGTAACACAGAAGGTTTATTAGACGACAGGAACACGGCGTAGGGCAGAGCTTGTAGGTACAGAGAACAGGACCCCTCAGTCAGGTCCATCTTGGTGGGTGGGGAGCCCAGACCCCGGTGCTGGGCCTCCCTCTGTTTCCCCAGCCAGCTCCAACCTGAAACCCCCCCCAGCAGTCTCAGCCACCATCACGCCCCCTCCATCTTCCCCCCCCTCCCCCGTTATTACTGTAAATCCCTGACCCAGAATCCGTGCCCCGGGAGAGGGGACGGAAATGCTCTGAGCCCCGGGGCAGGGGCAGCTCTCTGCACTGCGAGGGGTCGGGGTCTGTCCCACCCCGGGGCCTCGGCC